CTGCCAGTAAGATACAAAGTCCCCCCAAAAAGGCAGGGGAGAGGCTCACCAGAAGACGGAAAAGTTCCCTTTATTACATTGCTCAGAACAACCTCGGAGTAGGATTACTCAAAAAATATATGGCTATATTTAACCACCAGGATATGTTTCCAAAAATCCTACACTAGGCATTTGCAGAGGAAAAACATGCTTGTGATGCTTTTGATCTTCCCAACAGAGCTGCTCCCCTGAATGGGCAACACATGCCCAGAGTCCTCCCCAGCTTCGGGGAGCAGGTGGCCGATCGCTCAGACTTCAGCGCCACCAGCACAGAGCAGGCTGGAGCAACAGCCTTGCAGGTTGTTACACACTGTTTTATACACTGGGTGTATAAAAATGCTCAAAATATTTAGAGGAGCCAGATAAAGTGGATGCCTGCTCCCAAAGGGCAAAACCAGCAACTAAGAATATTTTAAAAACCCAACAAATACCTCAGTCGTTTTTAGTTATTAGTACAAAACATATCAGCTCACCCACTTAGTGGGTATTACACACCCATAGTGAGCTGCTTGGGTGAATTAAAACTCCCAGCACTGTTTGTTTCAAATCCACGGTCCCTGCCAGGCTGGCGAATTTCCATGCAAACTGCTCTCTGACTTTGGGTGTCACATACATTACAGAGCAGCACATTTTCAGAATACAAAAAGTTGGTCAAGTATTAAAATGACAGTCAAATTGCCATCCCTGGAGTAAGGTTTTCTTGCATGAAGTCTTTGGGAAGAAACGCAGGCTCTGATCCACGTTTCAAACCAATATTCGTTACGTTTGCAAGACAAACAGTAGTAGAAGGACTGAGCAGTAATATTTACTAGTACAGCTTGCTATGTGCATCAGAAACAGATGATGCTTGGAAAAAAACCCCATCTCCTTTTTGTTATTTGATAACACAGATGCTCATACACACAAAGTGATCAATCCTTAAAAATAAATAAAACCCAGCCACAAAGCCCTATGAGAATTGCAGTTATTTCCTCCTCTATTCGTAGGAGGACACTGTGGTGTTGGTCGAGCCTACATGCCTTTCTGGTGTTCCAAATTCTTGTCTTGGGTATCCCACAGCTCCTCCAGGCTTAGCACGGAAAGATGAAAAGAGTCTGGTGTATCCACCTACAGATTCCCCCATCCTCTTCCCTTCAGCACTGACAGCTTTTCTGTCACTCCACAACTTCTGTCTTCATGAACAAGGGTAACACTATCACTTCTCAGGCTTTCACACTTAACATTCTAATTCTTTCTAGAGTACCGTAATCTGTGATTATTCTCTTTATCCTAGACCTTGGAAAAAACGAGTTAATTTTCTAATTAGTATAGATATGTCTTATCTCTTTCTAATGCCACATTCGATATTTCTTACCTTTTTTACATTCAAGGTGGCAAAACTCCTCTATCGCTCCTATAAAACACGTTGCTGCTACTTCTTTTACACCTTCTGCCAGTCCGACCTTCAGCTCTGTTTCCATTGTCGCCTGTGTCTGCCAACATACCCCCTCGCTGGCAAGCATCTTCTCTCTTCGTCTTCAAGTCCACATTTTCAAAATTAACTTTCTTTACTTGTCTCTCTCCCCAGTCACTTCCAGCCTAGCTGACATGGCCCTTCTTTTTCCTTCACCTTGCTCTCCACTTCAGTGCTCTGATCTTTCAAACATCTTGGCCTTTGTAACAACTCATGTACTCTAGTTTTTGTTTACTTGATCGTTTTACAAACGCAGGTGATATGAACCCTTTCACAATAGATAACATCCAGCACTTGCAAAGTGCAAGAATAATCTACGCTACCTAGAAGGGAAAGTACCTTCTATATGGTCCAGATGCTGCAGGACGCCAAATGTTGAGTTCTCGTATCATCCCCCAAACAACAGTCAAATTGAAAGAAAAATAAATAGATCTCTGGTTTTCTATCATAAAAAAACAGTTTTAGCAGAGATAGCCCTACCTGAGTTTCTCGACCTCCACCTATTTTGGATAAGTGTGCAGGAGAAGAAACTGATCTTGATTAACCCTACTCCACCCAGTTATCACGAACTATGCCAGTATTTTCTGGGCCTTCATTCTAAAAACCCAAATGCAGTTGTGATGATGGTCTCCAAATCTTCTTGGTCCCAGAGCCTGTGTTCCATACAACTACCTCCTCTGTTAACCACAGGAATTTCTGCATGTCAGCTGGAACTAATCATTAGAAGTCCAGCCTTTTGCTTTAGAGGAATATCTACAATACAAAATTACAGAGGTTTGGGAAAAAAAACAACAAAACAAACTGAAAACAGGTCTTAGGCAGAGGACAAGATAAAGAACAGTCTATAACAGAGTATATAAAAGCCAGCCAACTCTTATCTGGAGCAAAGGAAGGCAGGGATACTCCCCTCAGCACAGGAACCCAGACAAGATGACAAGGAGGGGATAGGTTCTCACCTCAGCCATTTTTCATGGTGCTAGTGGGGGTCCTTGTCATATAATTTCTGGCCTTGGGACCATGTTGATAAGCACTGATGGTCCCACATGGTTTTGCAGTACTAAACTTAATTTGACAAGGCTTATTAGCACTGGCTTTGAGCCTGATAGACCCAAGCTGTCTCTAGTACTCAGTTTGGGCACGTCTGCGTGATGCTCTCCAACACCATAGCAACAGGAACAGCAAGGCAAAGAGACCCGATCCTGCTCTGCGTCGAGCTCGCTAAGGTTTGGCGAGCTTTACCGGCTTAGGACTGTGCCACATGGAAGCAAATACACTTGCTTTCACACCCCCTTTAATGGGCTTGGCAGATAGAGATGCTCCAGATTTCTAAGCTGATACATCTGGCTGGACGTGACTGGCTTTTCACAATTCAGCTCCCGTGTGTCTCTGCTCATGGTGTGAGACTACAAATGAGATAACTGCGCACAGGGGGACAGACAATGGCAGAGGGCTTCCCTCTAAGATCTGTTCTATTTCTATTTAATGAACGAACTTAAATCTTCGTTTATGGTGCCTTCCCCCCCCCAATCTACTTATCTATGGTGCTCACCTTACAGATATGATATAAACTATGGACTATGATATAAATATGGACATCTGTAACTGAAAGATTCATTTTCAAAAATAAGACGCTGAGCGTCTGAATCGACTAGATAGCCTTGCCTCTGCCACCTCTCTGAATAACAAGCACCAGACACAAACACCAGTCCCTACACTCTGGAGAACACTTGTAGGCTACAGGATGAAGACTTCTGCATTTAAAAAAAAACAAAAAAAAAACAAACCAAAGCAGAACAGTAGCACTTGCATTTTTTCCTAGAATGCAGGAGACCTGCAAAAGGGTTGTCTCCTTAAACACTGCAACCAATTGCATGAACACCACCTCTATGAAGATACTTAAGTTCTTGTCTTAGTATCTTTACTGTAAGATGATCAAGAGCTCTGGGAGCACGCGCACTTAATAGAAGCGAGTCACGAGCATAACGCTCCATTTTCTCACGTGAGGAAACTGCTGGGGATGCCCAGCCATGACCAGTGCACTAAATCTCGTAAGCAGGGGACAGATTCCCACTCACCCCAAAATGAGCAATTGAAACTGAATCGGAGGAGAGAGCGCAGAGCAAACCCTTCTTTGCAGCACTCTTCACAATTCCCGAGCCAGCACGTGGCCCCTGCGTGCCTCTGGTTGTAGCCTGAGCTGACTTCCGTAAGCGACCTACAGCCTGCATCCAACTATCCAACGAAACAACGCTGTTCCTTCACTGAGAATGACTTAAAGCAACTCCAGTCCTGAATGAAATTCAGTTCTGGTGATACACTTGCGGAAGATTAAATTAAAGTAATTGTCAAAACTTCCTCAATTATTTATACTCTAGGCAGCTGCTGTGGCTACAGCAAGAATAGCAACCAACCTCTTCAAAGCAGTAAAGAGCAGCAATGATAAATCTTTTAGACAGCTTTCTTGTACAGAGAGCTGGCTCCATGAGTTTAGGCAAGATTGGTAACTTCCAAGAAACAATAAAATATCCAAAATAGAATAGCAGAACGCATCACTGTTTCTGACTTAAGATAAGACACTCTCATCAAAACTTTCATCTTTCATTTAACTACATGAGTGATTTGTGCCCAAGTTGTAGTCGTGGAGGTAGGGGCAGTTGGGAACAGAGTCATAAAAATGAAGAACATAAAATAGCTTCACACACAGAACAGATATTCACATATCCCGAAGGGAGCATTTGCAATACAAAGGGGAGATATTAGAATTTATATTGTAAATTGAGTTTTTTAAAGACATACAAGGAAATAACCTTCTTTAAAATACTGTACATTTTTAACATTCCTCTCCTAGGATGCATTTTAAGAAATAATTTTCTTAGTATTTGCATTTTCAGCCAAATTCTGCCTACAGTTTTAGCTTCACCAATATTCACAGCAGACGTACTCTTGAGGTACTATATGCTTTTAATTTTACTACACTCATTTTTGAAATATATACATGCCATGTACAAACCAACTTGTTGTACAAAAAACAACTTACCAGTAAAAAACAAGTTGCATACATAAAGCCTCCAGAGGTTTGCCATTTGAAATTTTTTCTTTTAGTGTTTTTCGCTCATTTGTTTCTTTTCAAAGGATATAGAAACTGACTTCAAAATAAATACCAAATTTTGCTTTTTTTCATACTACTATAAGAATCAAGATACACCTTGTATTTGTCTTCACAGAGGAACAGTTTATACATTCCTGTTTAACTATGTGAAGTCATAAAATACCAACGTAATAACAACATTGATTCCAAGTATGTGATAAACGATATGGCCTGATTCAACTACTACAAAGTACAACCAGGCAAGAACTGTAAGACTAATGTTCTTCAGACTACACCTTTGATCTCACTACTGTGAAAAACTAATTAAAAATTGTTATAAGAAGTCTCAGACACTGAAAGTCACACACTCACTCGATACCCAAGCGCATGCAGACAAGCACAGACTGCTTTACTACTTACCATTTGAGACCTATTTTTTGGGCAGCCATTGATGTCTTCAATCTTTTCATTTGCTGAAAAGCAAAAAAAGAGGAAATAAAGCAAAAAAAAAAAAAAACTACACAAAGGACATTTATTCCAATTATTTCCAGAGCACTTGCTGCTAGCTAAATAAAAGAGTTTCAGATTGTAGTTGTCCAGTCAAAGTGAATGTGTGAAACACTGAGACCCATCACAGAAAAAAAAAAAAGCAGCTGGAGGTTTCCAGTGGGTCATGCCTCCCGAGACAGCTGAGGTAGAAAGCAACTGCTCTGGTAACATCTCGTACAGTGACGGGTAACTCCTTTAAACTACAAAATAGATTTGAACTGCGGAAGCTGAATCACTGCTGGCTAGAAAAGTAACACTCCATACGTACAGATACTTGCCTGCCTACTGATTTGCTTGTTGAGTGAATATAGGTTTTAGTCTAGATGGGAAATAACTGTAACATTTTTATTTTACATACAAATCGCAGGACTACTTTTCAAGTTGCTTGTCTATAGCTTACATGCACCTGTACTTGCAGAAAAAGGTAAAGCTTCAATCCTTGAAGGCCCAAGTGCACGAAGGTGTTGAGGTGGTTAAATGTTTGCCTTGGAGTCTTAGCTTGCTCATTTTCACTTTTCAGTACCAGACTCTGAAATGTCTTTTGTGTGCCAGACTGAAGAACCAGTTATAATCAAAGTGCAGTTTCCCACATTTTTTTCACTGCCATAAAGGTGGGCGTTCACACCTGGTTTGATGAATCAAACAGATTTGCCTCCCATTGATTCTCACATTAAAAGCTGTATTTTCTACTCATCTCATATTCTCAGGACATCTCATTTCATGTCATCCTTTAGCTAGGAATATCAAATTAGGCACAATATTCCAACAGCAATCATAACAATGGCAAACAAAAGGGAAACATCACTCACACATCGAGGTGTCCCAATAAAGGTGTATGGCAGAGTAATGCACTTAAGAATTGATACTAAACTGAAAAAGATTGCAGCTAAACCCACTGAAAGTTCCCCAGAGTGATCTGCCAGCCTCTAAACGCGAAGAGCGTACGTTTCTCTCAAGGATCTCAGCTTTGGTCATGCAGACATAAAAATTATTTCTTTAAATTCCATTTACAAATCCTGTGCATTCATATTTTAATATTTACCACCTCTCAGTTGAGTATCTTGCAATATCCTAATCAACTAAACCTATAATGCTTAAAAAACCCGATAGCTATATCCCTATCTATTTGCACCACTCATAATTATTACTCAAAAAGAAACTAATGAATTTTTGAACAAGCCTTCTCTTGTTCAGGACATGTGTACCAAGATACCTCTAATAACCCAGGTCATTTTATTTACCTTCCTTAAAAAATAGCAGGCTTGTCCCTGGTGCTCTAGAACTTCAAAAATGTTACATGATGTAGTTAAGATCAATGGCAGCAAACCATAAAGCTTAGTGCCTGGGTTTCTTTAAGCTTTTGTACAAAAACCAGCTAGACTCACCTACTTGAAACTGCCTAAACAGTAACTTGTATCCAAGAATCTGCCGTGATGTGGCATCTAACTTTTTCTGAGATTTTTCTTGTACGTAAATGCAGAACCAAAATATTTACTCAACACTTCCATACTTTCTGGGGATTGCTGCTGGCTTGGTTCCAGAGCTGTACACTAAAGGTTAACCCCATAAATCCTATAAACTAATAAATCATAGAATCATAGACTGGCCTAGGCTGGAAGCGGCCTTAGAGATCATTTTAATCCAGCCTCCCTGCTGCCAGGGACGCCACCTCTCGACTAGATCAGGCAACACATGGGGACCAAATGGGAATTGAACCCGCAACCTTGGCGTTGTTAGCACCACGCTCAACTGACTGAGCTAACTGGCCCTATCTGTAATGTGGGAAAGTTAATGGCAAATGAAGATGTAAGGCACCCTAAACCTCTCTGTCCAACACACCAACTATGTGAGATGTCACCTCTTGATCTCCTTCCTTTCTGTACATTGTGGTTCATAACATCTCCATTCTCACCTAGAAACTATTCCTTTTGTCCTCGTACCCTTCCATCAGCTTGCGAAGATGTCATCAGCTGTCCTCGTACTCTTCTGATCAACTGATTTGTAGCTCATTTCATTACTATCAGTTTCCTGCATTTTCTTGCGCTCTACTTTTTTTCTTTTTTCACATGGAAAAACCAAAAACCTCTCCTTCACTGCACACAGAAGCTGTCTTAGTACGCAGTCTTGCTTGTCAGGAAAAAAATCTTGTGTTTTGCAGGCTACAGCTAAAGCTGCTTCTAGGTGTGAAAGTTATCACCATCTTTGTGACAATGAGATGCAGTGTGCCTAAGGCCAAACACAGCAGATACAAATGACTTGTTCCTCACTGTTGATTTGGAGGATTAAACTGAGAATGTTTAAATATGAACTTTCCTTCACATGAAAAACCTTCTCTGGAAGTTAAATCTTTTACCTTGTATTTTAAAAGTCTGCAGGTCTAATCTTAAATATTTACCAAAAGGCAGCTTGAAAAAACCACAAAAGGTGAATCCAAGCAAAATACAGTAAGCGACATTATTTCTTTGTGTTTTAGAGGAAATAATCTGAATTTTCCAACAGTTTTCACAAGACTCTAACAGCTACATCTACATATTGAGTGCAACCAGGTTCACGGTTGATGGTGGCACTTTTACTCGTGTCTTCACAGAGAAGTTTTCTACAACAGCGTTAATGCAGGGTAGCTAAGTATGCAGGAAAGGAATCAAAATCCAAGTGTCCCTGGATTTCCAAATATTTTCCCTATTAAAGGAAAACTGAGAGAGTACATAGCGTGGTTCATAGTGAATCCCTGCCAACACACAATCAATTCATATTCTGGTTTTATACATCTGAAGCTGCGTGGCAGGTCTGTAGAACACTCCTGAGCTATAATGTCACTCTACAACAGCGAGACAAAATCTTTTTTGATGTTTTCCTGGTGCAGCTCTGTTGGAATCCCTGGAACCACCACGCCTCACAACTTCATCTGAGAACAGGGCTCGAGGTTTTGTATCTTAAATGAAGGAAGTAGCTCATTTACAGCATCTCAAACACAAATAAATATGCATGCACGGATGTCTTGTCACTTCACTGCAGTCTTCTTAATTTGCATCTCAATTCTGTCAGTTTGCTTCTAACAATAGTTGTCCTAATTCCCATTAGCAGCCTTTCCGATTCCATCAATCTCCATTGGCCCATGCATGTGTTTTGTGGCATCCCAAGTACCAGATGGATGAGCCTCTGAAGGAACTAATGAAGGATCCAGGCCCAAGGGAAGAGGGACAATATGTAGCTTTACATGGGGCCAGTGGAGAAAATTGTTCAGAACCTTCATTATCTACGAATATCAGTGCAAGCTGAGAGAATTACAGGCTTTGTAGAACCGAGCATGTATTTGCGATTTGCCCTAATGATAAATGATTTTCCTTATTTGAAACCTCATTATGAAAAATTTCTCTTTTTTCTGCCACATAAAGGTTTCACCCCTTCTCTCCTAACTGCGTATGTGGATTTTCCAAATCCAGCTGGAGGCAGGAGGTTCAACACAGCTGGCCAGTATCACTGGGAATTATGTTCAGCTCAATGCCCTAAAGGTATCGGAAACAGAGATAGTGAAGGCTAACAGCATCCTCGCAAAAAAAAAAAAGAAATCCTTCATCAGCTGCTTTTTTCATGTTCAGCTGTGTGGAGGGATATTGTTGTGTCGGGAGATCTTATCCATAACATCAAATATTTTTCCACTATGCTTTAAGACAAGGCTTCACCAAATTAATTAGCGAAGTCTCTAAAGGAAAATTATCTACATAATTCCAAGCAGTTTGATAGATTTGTCCGCCCTGTGTTTACGTAGGAGATAAAGACAGTGAACTTGAGGGACTTGGTGGATACCTGGTGCAAAAACCAAAAGTCACTCACCTACAACCTGGATTATTTCAGCTAGCAGGACTCCATCAGTCACATCTTGCTGTAGATCCTTTATCAATCTCTTGTGACCAGATTTTGCTAGATAGTGATTAGCCCAATCTGTATAAATCTGTCAGGAGAAAGACAAACAAAATTGAACTGTTAGTCATTACACCAACCTTAAAAATGAGCGTTCTTCTGTTGCTTTCAGTATCCAGGAGGCTGATTTAAGATCATCACTTTTTTGCTCTTGGAAACAAGTCAACAACATTAAAATTCAAGACATTGTGCCGATTAAGTATTCAGCTTACTGTAGTATGGCTTTTCCCATTCAGAACTCTGACATCAAAGTTTGCAGAACACAACAGTAAACTCCTGAACATGTTACAGCTCGAATGGATCATCAGGCGGTCAACTAAATGTTCTATGGCAGTAACAATGGTGTAGAAGAGACTGCAATTTCCACCCAAGTAATTTTTTGCATTCTCCCTTTGACACTTCTTCTTTATATCTGTCAGTGAGAAATTGTAAAGATTCTCTTCCAAGAACCACTTTGGTTAGACACTGTACAGTGATTTCATTTTAGGAACTCCTTTGTTTTATTACCCAACAAGCCTTTAAAGATCTTGAAAAAAGTATCAATTCTAATAAATTCGACGTCACAGGCTAAATAGGCCTATTAAGTTGATGTTAACCTCTCATGCAGACTTCTGTTGGGATTTATTTTAATGTGTTATCTGAAAACTGAGCAAACAAAGCAGTTAAAATATCTCTTTAATTTGCACTAAGGACTGCTTACCATATGGCAGCACAACCTATGTAAGATCACCAGAAAACTTACACAAGCTTTTCATGCTAGGCTACCAAAAAGAAGGAAAAATACTTGATTAGGAATTTCTGCTTATGAATTAAGCAACATTTCTTGTTCTTCGTATAGAATGAAATTTAAGGGAAGACTTTTTTTTATATATATAAACTACTTAAATTTCAAAGAAATAAAGCAAACCCAACCAAATACCAGAATTTTACCTTTTAGATATCCAGACAAATACTAAAGTTCACCCCTGCTCTCAGGAGTATCTTAGTATGTTAGAAATGCGCTCATCTCACTTGAGTCTATCAATAAGCAGGAGAAGATTCAATGAGCCATCTAGAGCATGGACCCAGGCCAATCCTCCACAGCCCCAACAAACCCCCAGGTACTGGGTTGGGTGGTTTTGCTTTGCTTTTTAAATCAAAGCACTACGCTGGCAAGAAATGCCTCCCACAAGCGGATGGAATCGCTGACCTGGGGGCAAATGTCTGCACAACAGTTCTCAGCCCAGAACTACTGTTTTCCTTCACTGATAGATGGAAAGAGAAGAGGACAAGGAGCAGAGCCCTGGCCCTCAGGGCTGGGATCAGGGCTTTGAAGATTCCCATCCTGAGCCTTAAGGAAGCAGATGTAGTACATGATGGCCACTAAAATCTCATACTCCCTTCTGGCCAAACACTGCTGACACAAAAGGGGTTTAGAGCCATTCTCCCTCCACTAGCCCACTCCTGAGCTGGGCAACCCGCCCAGGTCACTATATTAACGCAACCCCCCAGGCCAATGTCCATCAACGCAGAGCCTGTAGAAAACACAGGGCTTATTATGTCCTTCTCCTCCATGGGAGCCAAAAGCCAATTCTAAGAGTCAAGTATTTGCCACATGGGATGGAGGAACCTGGAAATAACACAACAATTGCCAATTCATGCTCTTCTTGCACTTGCTGATTGACTGTTAATATGATAAAATGAAAACCAGATATTTTTATCAGAGTTACTTAGGTTATAAAGTATTCCTTTGTATTTTTTTAAACTTGGAGAACACTATTGGTAGCAGCAACAAATAAACCACTCAAAATCTGCAACATATATCCCTTTTTTCCATCATTATCCTCTACTTTCACCTTCAGAGCAGCAAGATGTGCGTTTCCTATGCCAATAGTGTCACGGACTTGAACCGAAAAACATGTTGGAACTACTCCATGAAAAAAAACAGAGTTGAAAAACATCTCAATGAAATAAATGCTGAGTACACATGAATGATTTCCCTAGTTGACTGATAAAAGGGGAAGAAAAAAAAAAGAACAAAACCACAACACACTTTGCACAAACCAGACATTGTGTTCCTTAGCTGCTTTTACAAGAAAACGTTTTCCATAACAGGAAGATATTTTTAAAGATCCAATGACTTCAAGGAACTAGGATTGACTTCACTTATTTTTCTGCCACGCGGTTCTAGCTTGCTTATCTACAAGTAAAGACATTTCAGGAAGCAGGTTGAAAACTACTTACTTCACAAGCGCAAAGGTCCACTCGCACCCTTACATCCTTACTGTGTGTGATTTAGCGAACAAGCAACTTACCAAGCACAATAACTAACGGGAGGGCTGTGATGAATGCCCTACTTTATCACAGAAGGACTTTGAGCACATCTTCGATGCATCGGTTCCAGCTTGGATCATTTCCACAACGCTGATCACCACGCAACCAAAGAAATGCTGGAATCAGCCCTAGAGCTGAGCCAGCCCAGGACAGGGCATAGGCAGAGCAGACCCCTCCTGGCACAGCCTGAGCTGACAGCAGCAGCAAGACCTTGAGAGCTAGTTAGGATTGATTTTTTAAGTCAACTAACAGTGTGAGAACGCATGGCTGGCATTGCCAAACTGCTCTGTCGTTGCTGTTTCTCACTGCACTGATTCCTGCTGCGCCCAGGAACACTAAACCTTATACCCTGTCGATGCACACAACTTCAGCAAAGAAATCCCTGCCTGCCTTAACAAATCCTCCTGGGGAAGGAGACAACTCCAAACACCCCCACATACCCACCGCCTGATTCACTGTCTCCAATAACACACAAAGGAACTCCCTCTGTTGGCAAATTACTCGTGTAAGCCCTACTTTGTGTGCTGAAGTCACTGCCTGCGTTTGGTATCCAAACTGCAAGCAGAGCTTTTATGCTCGTTTTAAAATATTCCATTAAATTATTCAATAATACGTAGCAGTACTTTTTCCTGGGGTATTTAAGGGTATGGAATATTATTTCAGTCAACTAGTTGATTAGGAAAGCCTTTTGCAGGAAAACATAGATACAATAAATCTGTGCTTCTCTTTTAAAAACTTTATCACATCACATTATTTTGCAATATGCATGACATGCAACGTTGTTTTTTAAAATGACTGGGCTACGTTATTTATGAGCTCTGAAGCATTCTTGTGGATGCAGTATTATCCAGGCTTATTGTAGTAGCTGTTTATGGTAACTGCTCATTTTTATGGCATATATTAAGCTAATCATGGAAACTTTCCAGGATGTTTTCAAAACCTGTTTGTTGCAAGTCTTTGTAATGTACTACACAAATACGATTCCTTATGTTTCTTTTCCTCTTCCATCCAAGCAAGTAAAAAAAAAAAAAGTGTACAATGGTTGCTATTTCTAGCAACTATGTTTCAAAGCACATAGTGTTTTCAAATGTTCAAAACTAGGCAAATCATTTGTGAAACAATAATAAAAGGACTCAGAAAACACTGCTGAGAAACTTGCCATTCATAGAGGTCTATCTCTGCACATGAATTTTCAGCGTTCTCCAGGTATTTCCAGCCAACAGGGTAAAGCCACATTTGAAGGAAAATAACCTAAACAGTCACCTAATTGAAAAATAAAAAAATCTTGCAATATTAAATATTTGACCCACTACAACCAAATGGATACTGCTTTATTTTATAGACCGGTATGGGCTTTTAAAACTGTTCAGTGATTTCACACATTATTAAAACCATTGGAGGTAGCTTCGTTATTTTAGTTAACACAATCAAGCGAACATCATGATTTGGGTATTATCACGATAAGCAGGTCTTTGTGCCTGAGATCAGTCAGTTTAATGTTTAACTCGGGTCTAAGTTCTGGCTTTTGTTAAACATGGATTCGGCTGTTTGGCAGGTTTTTTTCTCCATAGTCTATGATCTTAGGAATCCAATTATGTGGAAACAAATTTAAAACAACTGTGAAAGATTTTTTTCTTCTCTCTCTCCCATCATGTCGTTCCAGCCCCACCCCCCGCCTTCAATCCATCAGGTTTGAATTAAGAGTGTTACAGGTGAATATTGATTTTGGGAAATACTCATTACATTATGAGTCATAGCTAAAACACTACTTCACCAAGTAGCAAGGTTTTGAGTAAAAGAGTCACCCAAACTCAATAGCTTTTGAAAGTTATCTGTAAAGAAAAAGTCCTGAAAAACAGGAAGTCTCTAATCAAGTTAAAACAGTTATTCTGAAATTAAGTTTCAGCCCCTCCCCTTGCCTTAGAGCTTTACACCTGCTTGTTTAAAGCACATTTCAGAAATGAGAGAAATCTGAATTTCCTGAATCTCTGAATTTTCTTGTCATTTTAAGTTTTGAGTAGTATCTCTGATCACGGCAAGAGACCACATCTACCCCACCCAGCACACCCCTCAGCCCACCTGCACCAGCATCTGAATCCTGGATCGAAGAAAAGTTGCCTTTTGCAAACAGGTTGTGTCCACGAGACCACGCAGCCCCCAGTGAGCACTTGGGGAAGGCTGGGGAACATACTGACCTGGAACAAGCAACAATCCTAAAGCTTCTGTCCACTTAAAAGCAGTTTTTAATCTCAGAAAAATCAACCCAAAAGCCAAATAAACTAGAGCTTGCTTGGCTAGCCATAACAGTCTGAAACTGGCATCTCAAACCACAGTATTCCTGCCTCCAGATACCATTCTGGAGGCAACAGAATGGATGCCTGGGTGCTTGGACAGGCTGATGGACAGGTTCTTCTTGATCTGCTGGTAGACAGGGCCAAACACAGCATCTGTGGGACCTTATTCCTCTGTTCCCACAGTCAGTCAAACCCAGGAAACAGAGAGTGAATAAAGACACAAGAGCACAATGAATCCAGGAAGATCCTTTAGAGATCATAAGTAAGACCCAGGATTAGATTAAGGTGTCAGGTATTATCATGTAGGTCTCCTTCAAGGGGAATTTGGTCCCAAATGAGAACACAAGAACTAACCCAATGGTTTTTGACTCCCTGTTGGTATTGTGAAATATGCTCATTATGAAAAGGAACGGGTTCACACAAA